GAAAATGTACGTGGCGAGAAAAAAGTCAAAATTGTGAGAGAAAAGGTCTCAATTACATTTTTTATATTTTTAATCTGTGGTGGAAATGTGGCTTCCATAATGTGTTCACGAAATAGATGTTGACAATCAAAATGTGACATAGGACATTAAACATCACTGTTACGGTCAATGATTTCGGCCCTCTATTTGGTTGCCAAAATTTCGGTGCATCACTAAATAAAATATAAGACTGAGGGAGAAAAGGGATGACTGTATGGTCGAGGTGACAAAGTGTGGAAAAGGCGGCAAAGTAGTTTCAAACGTGAGGAGGATGAGGGTGGCCTACGAAGGGAAACTCACACTGCAGTAATTTTTCCCAGAATGAACCATCTAATGGCCTTTCGTCTTTGAAGTTCCACATGCTACACAGTCCATTTTCTTTGTCGTGAAGGTACATCTGCTTTAGAGATGTTAAATTCCCATCAACCCACTGATGGATCAATGAGTTAATGGCCCTAAACATTCTGCTGCTTCTCAGTTACTCTATTATAAAAGTAATGTAACGTCTCTTGTGGATAAGAAAGGAGCAGATCAATCCTCCAGAGCGTCAGTGGGTTTTGCAGGGTGCTGTGGTTGGTGTTTGGGTTGTGCAGGTTGGACATGCTAGTAAAGGGAGAAGGGGGGCCGGGTGGGTCTTGGGAGTCACATTAGGGTCCACTGGGTCAAACACAGAAGGACAGGGTGGGGCGAAATCCATCCCCTTTATGTGTGCAGCCCTGTCACTAACCCACTCCCACCCCTTACCTGAGTGCCACTTAACTTTTCAAGTGGACTCTCTACGCAGGGCAGCGCCACCATGGGCATGCCCAGCACAGACTCAGGGCGCTGGGGTCGCACCAGTGGGGGTGGGGGCTTTGTCTGCTGGAAGTTGTTGATAACACACGTCACCTAGAGAGAGAGAGAAGAGTGAGCGAAGAAAGAGAGGGAATAAAGAGAAGCAGCAGTGGAGCATGTGATAGAGAAATTGGATTTTTTAAATGCTTTTGAAAGAAGTGTCTTATGTTCACAAAGGCTGCATTTATTTGATCAAAAATAAAGTAAAAACAGTAATATTGTGAAATATTATTACAATTCTAAATAGCTGTTTTCTACTTGAATATACATATCTTAAAGTGTAATTTATTCCTGTGATGCAAAGCTGAATTTTCAGCATCATTACTCCAGTCTTCAGTGTCACATGATCCTTCAGAAATGTGATTTCTTAAAGGGGTCATTGGATGCAAAATTCACTTTTACATGTTGTTTGAACTGAAATGTGTGTTGGCAGTGTACACATCCACCCCAAAATGATAAAAATCCACCCATTGGTTTTTTAAAAATCCAGATAAATAATATCCCCTTTTTCAAATCAAGCCATTCTCAGATTCTTGAGTGACATCACACAGACCAAGGCCACTCCCACGATTGTTGATTGACACTAGCGTTTTACCTTAGACCCGCCCTGAGTGAGCTGTAA